ATTAATTATTAATTATTAATTATTTTTAATAATTAAATTAAAATAGGTAAAAATTTTACAATTTGAATAACCTGATAAATTTAAGAGTGGTAATGACCATAGCGCACTTTTTTTTTTTCAGTGAAAATAGCACAATTTGTTTAGACAGGGGAAGATAAAAATGACGAATTAACATGATGACATGGTCCTATCTTATTATTTTTAATTATTACTACCATAATTGTTTCTCGATCCAATTTAGTTACTTATATTTTATTTATTAAATTTAAATATTTTTGTTGACTCAATGTACTCCAAGAGAGGAGTAAATTAGAATCTCAAAAATTCTCCTCTTTTTCAATCACAAAACCCAAATTAAAGAGAGTAGAGAAGAAGAACTTGCACAATAAATTTATAGAGGTTCGGTCCAACCACTTGGAGCCTAGTCCTCTACCTTGACTTCACTCACAAGGATTTCCTCCACACTCTTCACTAAAAAAGACAAGGGTGGCTTAAATGAGCCACTCAATCCTTTTACAACAAGATGAGTATTTCTCTCAAACCTCACCCCTTTACAATGTAAACCCCACAAATTCTCTCAATAGATTACTCTTGAAGGAATCAACACACCCCCAAAATCACCACTAATAGCACAAGAAGAGGATTACAAGCAATGATTACTCAAAGATCAAAAACTCAAGTTAAAGCTCCAGTAGGTAGGTAAAGATATACAATGTATTGTAATCCAAACTTCTTCAGATCCATATTTATAGCCCCTTGTGTGAAAATAGCTGTTTCTAGCCGTTAGGGGTCATTAAATGCTCTGCAGGACGCAAAGCTTGAGCTGCAGGTTTGTCAGGAGAGCTGGCTTACACTTCCAAAGCCGGCTATCCGAGTTTGCAGGCCATTCTGTTTTCCTCGAGAGCCGGCTGCAAGACTTTGAGCCAGCTTTGGAATTCCGATTTTAAATACATTTAAAAGAGTCGACCGTTATGCATTAAATGCACCCTCATAGCCGGCTGTAAAGTTGGAGCCGACTTTGCATCTTTTCTCCGCGTGCGCCAAACAACGGTCTTCAAATTTTTGCCTGTAGAGCCGGCTGCAGCTTCTAGAGTCAGCTCTTTGCACTTCCATTTCACCAGAGCTGGCTGCAGCTTCCAAGAGCCGGCTCTCTACAGATATTCAAGCCTTTTTTGTTCATTTTTAAGTGCAGTCCAAGTTTACTTATTTTGCAATCTTTTGACATTTTAACTACATACTTAAATAAACCAATTAGTTACTCAAATGTGTTTTGTAATCATCAAAATCATAGGTACAACAATCTCCCCCTTTTTGATGATGACAAAACACTTTGAGAATTAATTAATGAAAGAACATATATACTTCAATATTAACTAGAATTTCAGCACAAGGTACTCTAGAAAATGACATTAAATTCAGCATATTCTTCTCCCCCTTTTTGTCATTCATCAAAAAGTACATAATCAACAAAAGCAATAAACTCCCCCTTAATTCATGCTATCAACCTTTAAAGCATCAAGAATATGAATATAATCATCAATATAGCACCATAGATAACCAAAGTTATGAATACACTCATCAACTAATAAACTCCCCCTCAATAAGAGCATATTATCATCAAAATCACAAACAACCATTCACAAAGCATGTTAACACAAGTAATGCCATTTCCATTCATAAAACATAAAATGCATAAAAAGGTTCAAGACATATCCATAGACATATAACACATAAAATGCATAACCCTAAGATGTCCATCCTAAAGATTAGCCAAACTAAAGAAATATCAAGTTAGATGGCATCAGGTGTGGGTGGAGGAAAAAAATGGTTAACAAGTCGATCAAGCTTTCCTTCCACGTTAGTCATTCTCCCTCTCATTTCTGTCCGGAAACCATAAAAGTCGGTGTGCAGTTGCTGCATCTCAGATATCATTAACTCCATGGTTTCTCGGTTTGTCCTTTGCATGGAGACTTGAAAGGGTCTTGGGCTGTCATCTTCATGTTCTTCTGCCCCTTGTTCTGCCATTTCTTGATCAGTACCACCTTCTTCTTGATCCCCATCTTGTTCTCCTTTCTTTATCCAAAAGCCATTTCTAAACAAACAGTCCATTTTTTCAAAAGAAGCTTTGGTAAGTGTAGTCCCACCAGGAACCGTTCCGAACCTAAAGGAGGTAAAATCAATATTGTTCCTCTTCGCCAATCTGGTAATTAAAGCACCATAAGGAAGTCCCGTAGTTGGTGAGTAAGGCTTGATTATGCTCCGGAAAATGTATCTTCCTAGGTTCACCCTTTTTCTGTTAAGAAAATAATCGAACCAGGGAAGATCACTGGCAAGAACATAAGATTTACAAACCCTTCCTCTGAGCAATAATGCGAGATATAATCCACTGCAATGCTCTATTCTCTAGTGTAAGAAACCCCACTTTAATTTGATTTTCAGTGCAATTGGGGACAATTGTGGCTCTAATTAAGGCATGATTCACATCTAGAAACTCATCATCTCCTCCTTCAAGTATATCTAATACAACACAAATATCCCTTGGAGAAACTGAAATGACACCCCAGCAACCATAATTTTGCATTTATTCCCTCTGGGTTTCAGATTAGCATAAAACTGATGAACAACTTCATAGTACACAGGCTCTTTAATTTCTATATAATCCTTCCACCCAAGTTCCCTAAAAATTTGTTTAACACTCATATCTCCTTGAGAAAATTGACTGAATTTCACACAATTGCATGGTAGCACAGCCAAGTTTTTGAAAAAATTATAGTGATTAATGGCATCATCATCCACAAACAGAGCATTATCAACGAGGTTACCTTCTTCTTGGGCTTGGCCACCAACACTAGAACTCCCAATCTGTTTCCTCTTACTTCCGCCCCTTCTTGAAGCCATGAGAGAGAAATCCCAACAGCCACACCAAAAATATAGCAGATCCCACACAAATTGAAGTGAAAAGCTTGAGGTTTTGTGTTGGGTAGGCAAGGATTTGATGGTATTTGAGTGTTTAAGGGATGAGCTTTGGAGATTTGAAGGGATTTTGGTGTTTGGGAGAGTGAATGGCGAGTTTTGGGAGAGGAAATTGGCAGATCTGGTTCGAAGAGAGAGAAGCCTGACTATTTAAAAAATCTGCAGGAGAGCCGGCTATAATTACAGAGCCGGCTGTAAAGCGGGTCTAGGTCGGGTTGCCTGTGGTTGAGCCGGCTGTGGTTTAGAGAGAGAAGACTCGGTTTTTTTGGGTTGAGCCGACTGTGAAGCTAGAGCCGGCTGTGCTGTAGAGAGAGAATACTCTCGGGTTTTTGGTTGAGCCGGCTGTGAAAAGGGATGAACCGGCTCTGCTGGCCTTGATTGGGACAAACAAAAAGTTTGGGGCTGTTTTGAAGGGAATGCACCTTCATTTGATATTTCTTCATTTAACTAAGTTTAAATTGGATATCCACTACTAAATAATGCAACTTTAGTCATATATCAATGAATGCATCATCAAATATCATGAATATAATCAAGGTACACATATCAATATGCACAATTTCTGATAAGCATATTCATTAATTTCAAGAATCATATCAAGCACTAGGATCTAACATACCAAGCTCATTTCTAATGAAGAAAAACCTATCACGATCAAGAGGCTTTGTAAAAATATCAGCTAATTGATTTTTAGTGTCCACAAATAATAAATCAACATCATCATTAGCAACACGATCCCTAATAAAATGGTGCCTAATTTCTATGTGCTTGGTGCGAGAATGTTGGATGGGATTTTTAGTGAGATTGATAGCACTAATATTGTCACATTTAATAGGAATATGATCCATAGTAATGCCAAAATCCAAAATTTGTTGTTTCATCCACAACACTTGAGCGCAACAACTTGCAGCGGCTATGTATTCGGCCTCGGTTGTAGATAGAGCAACACTATTTTGCTTTTTGGAAAACCATGATATGAGCATATTACCAAAAAATTGACAAGTTCCACTTGTACTTTTTCTATCAATCTTACAACCTGCATAGTCTGCATCTGAATATGAATGTAAGTCTAAAGAAGAACCCTTAGGATACCATAAACCAAGGTTGGGAGTATCCTTTAGGTACCTAAAGACTCTTTTAACCGCAATTAAGTGTGACTCCTTAGGACAAGCTTGAAATCTAGCACACAAACAAACACTAAACATTATATCCGGTCTACTTGCGGTTAAATAAAGCAAGGAACCAATCATGCTTCTATAGAGTTTGGGATCAATAGGCTTACCTCCTTCATCCTTGTCTAGATTAATTGAAGTGCTCATAGGAGTAACTATTGGCTTACAAGTCTCCATGCCAAACTTCTTAAGCATTTCCTTTGTATACTTGCTTTGGTTGATGAAGATGCCTTCTTTTGATTGTTTGATTTGAAGTCCCAAGAAGAAGTTGAGCTCACCCATCATGCTCATTTCAAATTCACCTTGCATAGCTTTGGAAAACTCTTGACAAAGAAAATCATTAGTAGCACCAACCACAATATCATCAACATAGATTTGGACAATTAGTATATCTTGGCCTTTGTTTTTCACAAACAAGGTGGTAGCAACTCTCCCTCTAGAGAAACCATTTGCAAGCAAAAAACTACTTAATCTTTCATACCAAGCTCTAGGAGCTTATTTTAAGCCATATAAAGCCTTTGAAAGTTTATAAACATGGTTTGGATAAAATGGATCTTCAAAACCGGAAGGTTGCTCAACATAAACCTCTTCTTGAATATAACCATTTAGAAAAGCACTTTTAACATCCATTTGATAAAGTGTAAAACCTTTAAAGCATGCAAAAGCCAATAACATTCTAATTGCTTCAAGTCTAGCTACCGGGGCAAAAGTCTCATCAAAATCAATTCCTTCTTCTTGACAATAGCCTTTAGCAACTAG